GAATGGAGACTGAGCCCTGTGAGGACAGAGACCCTGTCTCATGCTCTGCTGTGTGTTCTGTACCCAGAATGATGCTGGGACTATACTAAGTGCTCAGGGTCATTTTTTTTTTTTTCTTATGAAGGAATAGACATAACGCTCATAAAGGGTGTTCTGGTTAAACAAGGCCTCAGGTTTATTAGGTATGTGTGCCTGATGATTAGATTCTTCTAGTCTGGCTTGAAAAGATGCATGGTGGGGGTTTCAAGTTATCCAACTCCTCCCCACCCTGCCACCTCTCCTAGTTAGCCACATGGAGCCACTGGGCTGCCCCTCAGCTATCCTCTCTGTGGCTTGACAGTCAGCAGAGGGATTCTGTTTGCTGACTGAGTTGGAGCAAAGGTCTAGGTGGATGGGAAGGAGAGATCTGTGAGCCCCCAAACTCTATCATGGCTCCTTGCGGAGCTCTGTGGGTCAAGGAGGGAAGATGGAGAACTGAGTTCTCGTGTAGTAAATGTACAAGAAAAGAGAAGAGAACATCAACATAAATTGAGTTCCTACCTTGTGCCAGGATCTGTGCTAGGGTCATTATTTAATTTAATCCTTGTGATAGAGGTGAGGACGCTGCTGCTGAAATAGGTGAAGTGACACGCACAGGAGGACACGGCTGGTAGATGGTGAGTGGATATTCCAGCTCAGGCCGCCTCGGTGCAAAGTGGGCACTTCCTGTGTTATAGGCCACCCCGCCTCTAGTTAGTAACCTGGGTCTCTGGGCAGTTATCAATTGTCACAGTCCATATGATGAAAAAAATCAAGAAAGAGGCAAAGGGGATACTTTGTCCAAGCTGTAAATTCAAAGTTTATTATGAACAGAAAAAAAAAAAAAAAAAAAAAGCTGGAGCACAGAGGATTCTTAGGGCAATGAAGGTGCTCTGCATGGAGGCTAGACTTTGAGTTTAGGCGACAGCCCAGGGCACCCTTACTGAATAGGCCTTCAGACCCAGAGCCTTAGCAGAGGCAAAGTGTCCTTGAACAAGCCCTGCCTCCTCTGTGAGGGTCTTCTCCAGGGGAGAAGGAAAACAAGTGATAGTCAGCCAGACAGAAAACTTCTCTCCCGGTCGGCCCTAGATGTAAAAACTAGTTCGTGAAGGCTGGGCTTAATTAGCTCTGGTTAGTTTCTTTGCAGTATTATTTTAAAATGATTTTTATTGAAAATTTTTTTCTTGGTAATAAAAGTAATGTAATAAAAGTAAATTCTTCACTAAACTATTTTTGGAAAATATAGAAATTAATATACATAAGAAATTCAGAAATAAATATAAAGGAATAAAAAAAAAATCCCTCCAGAATCCTATCACTCAGAAATAAATATCGGTAATAATGTGGTGTGTTTCTTTCCTTATATTTTTCTATATTTTGTAAAGATAAGGTTTTGTAGAATGCTCTTTAAAAAGAATTGAAAGACTATTTTCTAGAGCAATTTTAGGTTTACAGCAATATTGAGTAGAAGACACAGAGGTTTCCCATATGAGGCTGCCCCCACACATGCGTATCCTTCCCCACCATCAACAACCCCATGGGAGTGGTACATTTATTATGACTGATGAACCTACATTGACACATTATTATTATCCGAAGTCTATATTTACATTAGGGTTCATTCTCGGTGTTATACCTTCTATAGGTTTAGACAAACGTATAATGACATGTATCCACTATTAATGTGTCAATACAGAGTATCTTCATTGCCCTAAGAATCCTCTGTGCTCCAGCTATTCATCCCTGCCTCTCTCCTAACTCACAGCAAACACTGATCTTTTTACTGCCTCCACAGTTTTACCTTTCTAGAATGTCATATAGTTGGAATCAAATGGCATGTTGCCTTTTTAGATATGCTTCTTTTACTTAGTAATATGCATTTAAGGTTTCTCCACATCTTTTCATGGCTTGATAGCTCAATTCTTTTTAGTACTGAATTATATTTCATTATCTGTTGGACCAGTTTATTTATTCATTCACTAACTGAAGGGCATCTTAGTTATTCTGCTTTTTTTAACCGAACATTCTAGCACTATCATTTTTTTCGTGTCATTAAAGGTACTTCAAAACATGTTTTTTCAATTGCTGTCTAGTATTGAATAGTTTTAGCTGTGCAAAACTAATTATCATTCCTCTCGTCGGGCATTTGTAAATGTGGTTTTCTTTAAGGACAATCTCAATGGCACACATGACGGCCTTTCCACATGTTTATGGCATTTGGAAATTCGGGTCTCAGAGGCAGGCTTGTGCGGTGTGGCCCATGGTGTAGGCTTGTTCTGCAAGATGATGATAAGTGGAATACTGACTCAGCCTAAAGTCACATCAGAACGTTGTTCCCTTTTAAGTTCTTTTCAGTCCTTCAGATCAAGGAGAAAGGCTCCGTCTGAAGTAGCCCGAGAATGAGGGGTGCTGCAGGACTTTTGGTATTGAAACCAGAAGTCCTGGGCAAATCAGGTCAAGTTGTTCACCTGGTTTGAGCCTGGCTCTCCTTCTACATCTTTCGGACACTTGCTTGTCTCCCTTCTTGACAAAATGAGAGCAAGCCTCAGGCCTGGAGCCTTTGTCAGTCAATAGCTAGTATTTAATAACTGTTTTTATTTAATTTCTTTTTACAACTCTATTTATGGTATAAACGGTACTAATTTTTCCACTTATAGTAGGGATATAAAGTTTCCTTTTGAAATAAATGAAATAAATGCTTACTGTGTGCTAGGTGCTGTTCTAATGCTTTACCTGCAGTACTTTTTTAGTCCTCATAGCAAGCCCCTGAAGTAGTTACTATTGTTACCTGTTATGCAGATGGAGAAACTGAGGCACAGG